GCCGAGGTGTCCATCGTGGACACCACCTTTGCTCGTAAGGTTGGGTGCTATATCGACTCGAGTCAGATCCAGGACTGTGTGGGAATTGGTGACAATGTGTACCGGACGGACGAAAGAACCCGGATCAAGGTAACTCTCGCTGGGTCACAGGTATATTTCTTCGATATCTGGGTGGGTGATCTGACTGGCCAACAAGCTATACTTGGTATGGACTTCATGATTCCAGCCGGAATCCGCCTAGATCTAGCCCTGGGGTCGATCAGTTTGCTGGATGAAGTCCGGATCCAGCTTAGCGGGAGGCGGCAGCTGTATGGCGATAAGATCGTAAACGTCGGTCAATATCTTTGGATCCCTGCAGGAGAGTCGGTGGAACTGCTATTGCGCCTGAGGTCGTCGATCCACGACAAGCTGTGGGTCACGCGTGGGGATCAACGGGTGACGACGATATCCGGTGGACCATGCAGGACGAGATATATCTCGATGACCAACATCGGGGACGAGGTGTTGATCCTGCATCAAGACCAACGGATTGGGATCTGGCTGGCCGGAGATCATGTGCCAGGAATACCAGGTTTCATCTCGACCGGCTCTCGTCGTTACATGGAGTGGCTGAATCTACCATTGGAAACCACGACAGATGCTCGATCCGAAGACATGGGGATCAAGATCCCGCATACACCTGCGGTGGAGAGATCCGAGTACAAAACCCCGCGTACAACAAACAGAGAAGACGACGATCTAGTCTCAGAGGGTCGAGGCGAGTCAGGATCAAGATATTCCTGACTACCCACTTTCGGACAAATCGCCGTCGGAGATCCAACCGTTGGGTCTAGCGTCTGTCGCAAGTAAGGGGTCAGATCTGTCGTCTATTGCCGACAGAGGTTCTGTATCCCATCTTGTAACGGTCAAGAAGGCGCTGGAAGATCTCGATTAAATATCGCCAGACGTCTGGATGACGAATCCGCCGTTGGAAGAGACTACAAGTGCAGTGGAGGCGTGAGAAGAAGAAGGTCGGGATGGAATTGGGGTCGCCAACCAGGATCAACTACATTTGAGGTGTCAGGATCAAGGAACATCCCCGTCGAAATACGGTGGATCAGACCCGTCATCAATGATGAGTGTACAATCTGGGACGGGACATGTGGCCAGTGGTCCGTTGAACGGCAAGTGCGTCGCGTCTATGTCGCAAAAAACGGACATGGATCCACCACCTGCTATTGAAGATCAACCAGACGCGTCGGATCTGGATCTCACCTGGAGCTCAGATCAAGATTATGATGAATGTGTATACTACCACGAAGGAAGTGATCTGTACACGGAAGATGTCTACGGTCAGATGGCTGTATTGTCAGAAGTGCTAGTGACGACGCAAGAGGTGAAGATCGAGGACCTTCAGCTATGTGAATCTGATAATCAGACCCTAGAAGAAATTGATCGACCTCGCCAAAGGAGCGGGACGTTCCGTTCTGCAAATAAATGCGTTTAAATCAAAAAAATTAAGGTTGATTACACCTCTTGATCGGCGAAGGAAATGCCCTTCCGCCGGCGGCCAGAGGTGTTGTATGCAACATCGATGTCGGAGGAGCGAGGACTGTCGCCCTGAAGTGTTGTAAGTTGGGGATCCAGTTCAGGGAGAAGCTGGCGGACTTGATCAAGGGTCTATTGTCTGCCAAGATGGTTATATACTCTAGATCACCATAGGCCTCCCCGATCGTGGTGATCATCAAGAAGAACGGAGTGGATATCAGATTATGCATCGATTATCGGTTGGTAAACAGTCTAACTCAACTGATGCTCTATCCAATGCCCTTGATCAACGACTTACTTGAAGATCTGGAGTCGACACTTTGGTACCGTTCTTTGGATATGGCGAGTGGATTTTGGGTAGTGAAAATGACGGATCGTGCTCGTTTGATCTCGGCTTTTATCACTCCTTTTGGGTTATTTGAGTGGGATCGGATGCCTTTCAGCTTCACGAATGCGCCCCAGATCCATCAACGTATGATTGACAACGTGTTATATGGATTTATCCTGATCCCGAAGTCTGAAGATCACGGAGGTACGTTGGATGTGTTTGAGAACGGGGAACCGGTGGATCCAGGCGGGCCATCGGTGCTTGGTCGCAGATCATATATCGATGACATCCTGATCCCCGCCAACAACTGGGATCAGTCGAAGGTTTACTCGAAGCGTGTGATGAGTGGAATCTGTCGATCAGTGTGGTTAAAAGTTTCTGGGGAATGCCTAAGGTGGAATATCTTGGACATAAGGTCTCCCACAATGGACTGGAGGCGAATACGAAAGATCTGTCTGCATTGACGGATCTGGCATTTCCAGGATCACTCAGAGCTATGCAGTCATTTTTGGGAAGTCTGAACTATTACAGCCGGTTCATCGAGGACTATTATGCGTCAGTCCTGTACGAGTTACGGGAAATCGACTTCGCTGCGATGCTGAATGACACCACCCAAGCGCAGATCCGACGGATATTAGAGGTGGAGAGCGTGGATCAAGGATCGCAGGAAGACCAAGCGATCGACCTTGGATCTGGAGACGCAAGATCCTACTGAAGTGGATCCGCATTAGATCCACGCCTGTCGGTCCTTCAGTGTGCTTAAAGCCAAGTTCGCTACTACTTCGATCATACGGCACTTTGATCGTGATCGAAGTGCTACGTTTGTAGTGTATGCTAGTGACTGGGGTATTTCAGGATCATTGATGCAGGAGTATGACAAGATCTTCTACCCCGTGATGTTTGCGAGTCGTACTCTGAAGTCGAATGAGCTGAATTACGGCATCGCGGAGAAGACGGTATTAGTCCTACTAAGGATCCTGGATCTTAATTACAATGCACTAGTCGGACATCCGATCCACGTGTTAACCCGACACTCAACGTTGGCGTGGCTCTTCAGATCCACAGCCTTGCAGGGACGTTTAGGTCCGTGGGCTGGTCTACTGTCGCCATGGACTCTCGAGATCACCAAGTGCATCAAGGGGGAAGATAAGATCCTGGGAGCATTGGCGGTGAGTATTACGCCTAGATCACAGGTGGAGAAGGCGCTGATCTCGATTGTCCCTAAAAAGGAGTCAAGACGCAAGATTCAAGCTCCGATCCCCACTATTGGACGCGAAGAGGATCTATACGTCATTAGTTTCGATGGATCTGCTCGTGTCAAGTGAGGTGGAGGTGCGTACAGCGCGATCTTGTGGAAGCTGCCTGAATGAAGAGTGTTGAAGGCTAGATCTGGGTACGCCGAAGGCTTGACGGTGAACGAGGCGGAATATCACGGGTTTTTACTATGTTTGGATTTGTTGGAAGATCTGGTCCATGACGCCTGGTGATCTGCGGAGACTCGAACCTGGTGATCCGACAAGTATGAGGCGAGATCGTCTATAAGGCGCCGGGTTTGACACTATTGCGCCAGCGGTCTTTGGACCGACTCCGCGCTTCGCCGGATCACGAGCTATTGCATGTTAAGCGAGATTGGAATGGGAGTGCCGGCAGCTTAGCAAGTATCGCACTACAAGGGATATGTGGAATTCAGGTTGAGACTGAAAAGAAGATCCAGGATCTAGTGACCTTGAACTGGGTGGATGAGATCCTGATAGTGAAGATCGAAGACGAGATCGCACATACAGTATATCTACTTTCCGAGTTCACCACTATGACTGAAGCCAAAACCCCATAGCACACTTCTCTTTATAAGCCAACCAAATACAAATATGCAGCCACTACTTATTCTTATAAACCCTTAAGGGGGGGGCCTGTCTCCAGTCCTAGTCGGAACTACGGCTCAGACACTGGTCAGTCTGAGTCGCTTCCACAATCACGTGCACCACCCTCAGAAATGACATCCTCAGCCTCCTCGGCGCCGAATGCTATTATCTCAAATCTTGTGCCTATCCTTTAGGAGTGACTCGATTCTCATTCGTTATAATAACGTTTGCTATCCGTCTTTTATTTCCCACCAAAACGTTTCTTCTTATAGCTTTCTGCTTATACTCATGCAGGTGTCTGTGTTTCTTACGTTAAGTGATAGACAACACACTGTTTCCTCGCTTATTTATAAAAAATCATATTTCATACTTTGTGATTCGCAGACCGCAAGGTCTGCAAAGCGAGTAACGCGCGTGTTATCTGGTGTTAAAATTTGAGTTTCGTGGGAACTAGACGTGCACAATGACGGGAGAATGCGAGGGTAGTCCAGTACTCATCCAGTCGCAACTATGTGAGCTATGAACACATTTATGCTCAGTTAGAATACGAAGTTGGGAAGATTCACACAACGATCCCACTTTACCCCCAAAAGGTAAAATATGCCAGCGTCATCTACGCATGTGTCATTTCAAACTTCATCACACCATGACCTTAATACTTCCAGCACGCTATCGTAAGCTTCCAGTTCTGTTCAACTTGCAACAACCATGTGGGCCCTCATCAATCACGTAGTAGTACGTGAATACTGTTGACCTTACTGTAAAATTAACGTGCTAGTTGTAGACGAGTTTCTCTCGTGGTGACGTTCGTCTCCGTTTGCTACTCCGTTTGATAAAATGTTTTCCAAGATTTAATGCCCGCTTGAACCAAGATGTTTCGATAGCTCTCCGACTTCATATCGACAATATACCATCGCAACCGATTCAGCAATTCCCAATGTAAAACACTAAACAGGTCGAAATCCCATCCGGTTTGCTCTAGGAGAGCAAGTAAAGCATCTGCAGAAAAGTACCGTGCTCCATCGTCGAAGCCCATCATACCCCACAATAAATTGCAGTCGCCGGGTGTAAAGCGTATCAATTGATGCCTGAAGCTTGTGATCACACTCGAAGTAGTGTTACTTGGAGCGACTTTTTTCCTTTCTCATAGGTTTGATTGTTGCGTAGAAGACGTCAAAAATATCACTTGCTGCAGCGTATACGAGTTTCGTGTTTGCAGATATACTTGCAACTGTGGCGTTGAGGTTGAAAAGAATATCCTAACAATCTCAAAGTCTACAGGAAGACAAAAACAGTCTGGACGAGGAGATAACTGCGGTAGCTCCAGCCTAATTTGTTGATTTGATCCTCCTGTGGTGGTGATAAATGCGCTCGAGACGGCATCTCGGAGGGAAATCGTACATTACCTGCCAACATAGCAATAGGGAACACTGAATCCTGATCAGCTTGATCAAGTGATGGCCCCGGGGCCCTGAAGGGTAACTAGGTTTTCGACTCATTTCGTGCAGACATTTTTTCAGTGGCAATACATCGCTTATTATGTAACAGGTTGGCGGTACCAGAAGACGTACCCGACTGATCTGCTGCACGACGCCAAGTTGAAGTGTGGCGAGATCTACAACTTGGGTCTTGCGGCGACCTTGAAGAGCGCCAATGGGGACAGCAGCAACGCGAGTGTGCCAATGAGGAAGTGCCAGCGAGCAGACCATCGAGAAGTTAGTGGGACCTACGGTATCAGGTGGGTGCAGTCAGTCTCTGCAAACGCCCGTGCCAAGGACCTCAGTACGGAATCCGACGAGTGGAAGACACCACGAAGAAAACGAGCGAGTGGCATACTCCGCCCTCTGCAACGAGAACGAGGCGGCAACAGACGACCGAGGCTGACGAAGAGCAAAGACAGTTGG